TAAATGCCACTTTGCATTCTGAAACCGACAGCGCAAATAAACACACAGACCACACAGCCACTAGCAATAACCTGATTTAGTTAACAGCACTCCATACACATGACATCAGGTAGCACACTCTACATTCAATCACGGTCATTTTCAATACCTGAGAAGGAGTACCACTCGCATCTTTAATAAAAACATCACTGTGTTGAATGCATTGCATGTACGTTTAAAATACCACCGAGGCATTTCGAAACCAAGGATACAGAGAAGCACGTCTTACCTGTGACAGACATGCGCCTTCGTGGTTCTGAGGGCTGAAAACATCTTAAACGACGTCCTGGCCAACTCCAGTTCAGATTCAATCGTCATCGGGGACCACGCATGCACGGTCAGGCGATGCACTGCGGGCCCGAGTTCGTCTGCATCCCGGCCCCGTTTCCAAGCGTCGCAACCCCAGTCAGAAAGACCGTCTCACTTCTCAAGAGCAAAATTCCGATCGACGGCGTGGCCATCGGCTGAAGCGACGTCTCTCACGACGTCTGCGGCCAGCAAGCGGTCTTCGAACAGGTCCCCAGACGCTCGCGGTTTTTTTTTGGTGAACATTTGTTTTCGGACAGCGCGACAGCTTAAACGAAATAGTAATTAAATATATCTCCAAATATCATCTACAGGATAGTCCCTGGGAAACAGACTCACCGTTGTAGAGACGCAACAAGTTCCTTAGACGTCATGCACTAGCAGATGACGATACTTTTTTATGAAATTCCAAAAGCCTTCGCCACTTTTACCTCAAGGTGCAGCTTTTATGCTTACTTAACCTGTTTACCGGCATCCCAGCGGGGTACCAACCGCTGTGTTTCCCAAACCACACACCTTCCCGTCAGCCATTTCCCGCCCTTCCGATACGGGCCGGAACTGACGTCACCATCCGCTATGTCACACGTTTCTCCTGCGTTGTCCATGCCTTGGACAAAATCAATATCTTGATTTTGTCTCCCGCTGAAGTAATAGTTTCTTGTCTTCATCTTCCGAAGCAAAGCCGTTTCTTTGGCCTTTTACTGTTTACATTTTTCCTTTGGTACTCCGGCTTAAGTAATGTCCACCCATACTGTCTGCCTTGTATGCGCATTTTAAACTGTAGCAGGTATTTTTCCGGACGTGACATAAACATGGCAGCTATCAAGCAACGAATAAACTGCATGTCGCAACACATGTGGGGGCCAAGAGAACGTCTCGGACTGTACTATAATCTCATGCTAGACTTTTTATTTGGGCAGAAGAGTTTTCAGGAACCCCTAAAGCTTGGGTCCCTGTGAGCTAATCCACTCATCCTCTAAACTTTTCTTTTAAGTGACCAATATTAAATCCATACTGGACTTTACAAAATGTGTACAGTAAATCTTAAAGGAGTGGAGCTGGTCCAGGCTAAACGTAATGTGAAAACAGCCTCCACAGTTTTTCCCACTCAGCATTTAATAAGCAGCAGTAATAACAGTTGTAGATATTAACACTTTTAATCATGGGCTCTTAAAGACTGGGTGTTAAAAATTACAATGCCGCAATCTGCTGCAAAATCAGTTGTTCAAAAAAGTCCGGGCTCAAAAAGATTGCAGTATGTGTAGTCCTTTCAAAGCCTTTGAATTTCTCTAAAAAAATGGCCACGCACGTGGGCTGCTTTTAAAAATGTCTTTTTTTTTTATATCTGGAGTGCTCAGAAAACAGCACACCCCATTTCTAACATTGTGGTATATCCATGCTAAGATTATGGCTTTATTCTTAGAAATGCGACTATATATGCATGTCAATTTGTGAAATATATCACTACTTAAACTACTCATTGTTTTCTGACAATGTAAAAGCCTAATTCAACACCCATAATGCAACACTCCTCCTTTTTTCTATACATTTATATATGTGGCTACGTTTACAGCTGTTTTTTGTACTCTACTCCCCCCATTCAGAGTTGTTTAGGAGGCTTGTTGCCTCCCTAGTTCAACATTGTAACCTTGACTCAGTTTGCGGTTTGAAATAACTTGCCTTTAACTAGAGCAAGTTAGGAAACAGGGACAGCACAGTGGTATTCTGGTTAAATTGCTGCCTCGCAACACTGGGGCCCTGGGTTCAATTCCTGGGGTGCTGTCTGCATGGAGTCTGTATGTTCTCCCTGTGTTCATGAGGGTGCTCCGGTTTCCTCCCACAGTCCAAAGACATTCTGGTAGGTTAATGGTAGGTTAACCTACCACACACCTGAGGAAGACACACCTGAAGAAGGCTCCACCGCCGAAACGTTGTGTTTTCTTTCTTCTCTTTTCAGCATGGGATAAACCTTGTTCCTTTGCAGCCTACGCAGGCTGACGCGGCTACCCACCTGAACTAGTAAACACGACGAGATAGAAAATTATTATTACAACGTCACTGTGGTGACTTTTAAATAAGCACACTTTAATGAACTTCAACACTCTTTACTGCAAGTTAAAGAACAGTTAAGGGCAACGTCTCAAACACCAGTGCAGCCTACTTGCGCCCACTCTCTTCTCTAACAAGAAAAGGCGGACAACCACCAGAACCGGTTCTGAGGTCAAAACGACCTTTGACCTTTAGGTTACGATAATCTACAGCAACTGTAACGGCCACCCTCACATATCATAGGTGTTTCCTCATGGAAACAGCTTGGTCTCCCTTTGTAACACTTCAGCTACTTAATACCAATGCCCGTGCAGGACATAATGTACATATGGGGAAGACTACAGAAACACCTACGTTCTGCTTGTTTTCAGGAAATATTTTAAGAGTAATATCAAGAACCGGGGAAAAACTGTAATTTAGCCAATCGGTGGCTTTTCCGGATTTGCCAAAGCAAAGATCGTTCCCTGTTATGTCCCGCTTTTGTTCCGGCTAAAAACACAAATTAGTTTAAGGATTCAACAGGAATGGGATTGCTGATGAGCCACCACTGTGTAAGATGTGCACCGTCAGAGAGTCCAAGCCTGGCTGTCTGGCATTATTAATGTTAAACATGACCTCTAGTGCTGAAAAGTTGCAATAGCTATTAAAAGGCAGCAGTTGCATTATAATGACTTAAGTGTTTGCATCTGTTGTGTTGATGTAATGTTTCAGGACGCCTGGAATTTGAAAACCTCAGCCCGCTGTGCCATCTGTCGGGAAAGAAATGTGCCTGATAGTTTTGAAATCCCCCTCACTGCCCTCTTGGGTCTCTGCATTTCACTTTCCCGTGTCAGATGGTTACCTTTGTGATCTTCGTCACTTTTCTTGCGCTTCCATTTCCCCCCGTAGGTTACTGGACTTTTCTGGGACTTTTAAATAACGTGCCACAGTCCGGTTTTAGAATCGAACATAGATCGCAAAAGCGAGTTTATGAACATTAGAATAATGTGCATGAACTATTAGAAGAGTTCTTAAATAGTGGAATAATAGATATATTATTAAATATCAGAATCGTATTTATTAATCATGCTTATTATCATTAGAATAATATGGAATTACCTGTCGCATGGGTCAGTGCATCACAGACCAGAGAAGAATGTGAGAATAGATGTCAATATTATCCATCCATCTTCAAATTTATTCATATCAGGATCACAAGGGAGCTGGAGCCTATCCCAGCGAGCAAGGCGGGCTACACCCTGGATGGGATGCACACCCACACCAGGGTCAATTTTCTCAGAAGCCAATTAACATACCAGCATGTTTAGGGACTGCGGGAGGAAATGAATGTGGGGGAGAACACGCAAACTCCACACGGACAGCACCCCCGGGTCTGGAATTGAACCTGAGGGGCCCCGGCAATGCGAGGCAGCCATTCTTCCTAAATAAACACTTGCTTGGATGAATCAAGTCTCCCGATCCGTCCTGACAGGTGGGAGGCCAGCAGCTGGAGCGAGTGTTCCAGGACCTGCGGGGAGGGCTTCCAGTTCCGGCTGGTGCGCTGCTGGAAGATGCTGTCCCCCGGCCTGGACAGCTCGGTGTACAGCGACCTCTGCACCCTGGCGGAACTGGAGAGGCCCCCCGAGCGCCGTGCCTGCAAGAGCCCCGCCTGCGGGCCCCAGTGGGAGGTGGCAGAGTGGACCGAGGTGGGGAGCTGGTCGGGGTGCCCCAACACTTTCGCGGGAGTCGGGGGGACAAGGTTCTGGGCAGTGCCGGATTTCCCATGAGGCACTGCGGGCACAGTGCCTAGGGCCTACGAAGGAGGGAAACACTGGTGACTAATGAGAAACGAGCTGGAACAACATGCTTGCGATCGACTCTAGGGGCTCCAAATCAATAATCACACGCCATCCAGCGGCTCTTCTAGAAACCAGAAGTCTCGAAGTGATGGTCGCTGGACTCGCTCCATCGATCACGCGGTTTAGCATTAGAATAGCTGAAAGTGTATCATGTCAGTCAACGTCATTCAATTGGCGTTGACCCCTCTTTTTGCACATTTTGGAGTGAAAGTGCCTAGGGCCCACGAACACCAAAATTCGGCCCTGGTTCCGGGGCTTGGGAATTCAATTGCATGTATGGATGCCGAGTTTGGACCATTGAGCAATTTACCCAGAGTGCTGCAACTCCACCAATGGGTACCCAAAATAGGCATGGAAAAAGAAAAGGATGGAATTGTAGTTTGCTTGTAGTCTGTACAAAATTTCAGCATCGCTCCACAAAAACTGTGGTTGGTTTCAGACATTCTACCTTTATCCTTTGAGAAATAGGGAACTCTAAAAGCAGATTCAGGTGAATGCCATTTTTATTTTGTTTATCGATTGTAATAAAAGATTTCCTAGGAATCTCCTCTCCTCTTTTGGAGGAGATCAGAAGGTGCCTTCCCTGGATCCTTCACTGGGGCGAGAGGCTAAGGCCCAGGGGACGACGGTGAGTGTTTGTGCGGTCCTCCGGGCCTCCAGAGGGCGCTGTTTTCTAACCAGCCTGCTCCCGTCCAGTGTCCCGCCAAATGCGGCAAGAGAGGGATCGTGACCAGGGAGGTGAGGTGCTCAGACGAGAAGAAGCCGTGCGACCCGGCGAGCCGCCCGCCCGCCAGCAAGAACTGCACAGGACCGCCCTGCGAGAGACAGTGGACGGCATCTGAGTGGGGGCCGGTGGGTAAACTTCGGAGGGGGGGGGGGCGGCACAGGAAGTCACAGACCACTGAGGTCTCGGCCTCATAACGCTGAGATGAATGTGGAGGCCACATGTTGTGACCTTCTTAGATAGGATAAAGATTCACCTTTTCCAGCTTAATAGGTGTAGCAACTGGATGGGCCCCATCTTGATTTCATAACATGTATCTTGACGGTAGATCTCTGTGTCGGTGGCATGGCTGTTGTATTTCTTCTACAGCGCTGGCAGGCTCTGCAAAGTTACAGGCTGCCCTTGGGGAATGATCAGGCCTTCCTGATGGCTGCTTCCGTTTTTTCCCTGCTCTGGGACAGCAATGCTGTACCCTTTGTCATCGGCCATCCCTCCGTTTCCTTGCTTTGCTACCTCGTCTCCTCCGGCGCCGTGACAGAAGGTCTTGCCGTCGGAGGATGTCTCTGCGCTGCTGCGTCCTGCCCCGTCCTCCGTCCTCCCCCGTGTCTCAGTCTCCTGCTGTCTGTGTGTGCCCAGTGCTCAGGTTCCTGCGGCCAGGGCAAGATGACCCGGCACGTGTACTGCAAGACGCCGGAGGGCAGAGTGGTGCCCGAGTCCCAGTGCACTCCGGAAAACAAGCCTCTGGCGATCCACCCCTGTGGTGAGAAGGACTGCCCGGCTCACTGGCTGGCACAGGACTGGGAGAGGGTAAGGCGGGCCTCCACGGCTCTAGGCTGCGATGGAGAGGGGTCTGGATGGGAATTTTCCCCCCATCAAACAACGCTGTCAACATCCTCTGGAGATAAGACACCCAGCGGTTTCGGGATTTCTGAGCTATACTACATACAGTAGGCACCCACACTGGGTGGTGTCTTTCTCACACTTTCTAGTCCTAGTTCAACTAGATCAGCACTAGGAAGCACCTGATCGCCTGTGCATGACACACCAGCCCAGAGCCCATCCCGGTTTCCACGACGTTAAGCGAATTGAGGGTGCGTGACTCCCTCCCCCTCCCGTAACCCCCATCCCTTTTCACTCATAACCCTAGATGCGAGACTACTCCATTGCACAACCTACACTAGGCAAATGCAGGTCCCCATTCACGCAGCTGGGTGCAAAGTACCTGGCTCAAGGCACATCAGTAAGGTCTACAGCACTCAAACCCACCACCCACCAGCTGCTTACAGAATTTGTTCCTCTGCTTCATCGAAGCAGTTGGTATGAAATGGAACGGATCACAATGCCACTCCGTGGGATTCTTATCTCCACCCTTCTCATTGGTTTTATCAGTTGGTTTGAATCTTCTGTATTGAAGTTCTGGGGTCAAACATAAGAGCATGATGGGATTTGGAGAGATCCGCCACTGTAGTGATGCGCACCCACAATTCCCACAGTGCAACACCACCTGCGGGCGAGGGGTGAAGAGACGGCTGGTGCAGTGCGTGGGCATCGGGGCGGGCAAGTTCAAGATCCACGAGGCGGAGGACTGCGACGCCGCCAGCAAGCCCGTGGAGGAGAACACCTGCTTCGAGAGGCCCTGCTTCAAGTGGTACACCACCCCCTGGTCTGAGGTCAGCAGGCAAACCGCGCACATCCCTCACGGGCCTCTTTCGAAAACAGAGGTCCGGCAGGCTCAAAGCACAAACGGACCCCTTTAATCCAGCCATCTTGATCTGGAATCTGGGGGATACCAGCAGTATGCTGTAGCTGGAGCTCAGCTGATGTGAGTCTGGCCAAGACCTGGATGGGAGACCTCCTGGGAAAGCTAAGGTTGCTGCTGGAAGAGGTATCAGATGGGCCACTAGGGGGTGCTCACCCTGTGGTCCACGTGGGTCCTGATGCTCCAGTATAGTGACAGGGATATGTTATGTTATGATGTAATATTTGTATATGTAAAAAGGCGCCGTCCTTCAGATGAGACATTCAAGTGAGGTCCTGATTCTCTGTGGTCATTAAGAATCCCAGGGCATTTCTCGAAAAGAGAAACATCATAACATAACATCACTTTATTAGCCCTATACAATTTCTTGCATTAGGAAATCGTCTTTACCTCATACGCATACCCCAGCTTGCTCTCCATGAGACACAGATGGGGAAAGAGAAGCTTGGGGTCAGAGCGCAGGGTCAGCCATTTATACGGTGCCCCTGGAGCAACTGGGGTTAAGGGCCTTGCCCAACAGAGTAGGATTCCTCTGCTGGCTGGGGGATTTGAACCGGCAACCTTCCAGCCACAGGCGCAGATCCTGAGCCACTGCTCCGCCCCCCGGTGGGAGAGTAGGGGCGTGGGCCCCATCTCAGGGGAGGGATCCCCATCTCTGAACTGGCTCCCTCACTCTGTTCTCCTCCCCACTGAGAGCTGGTGTGTGGGGAGCGGACTGGCGCACTCTGGCTGCTGTCATACCATCCAGGTGGGGCTACTCATTGGTGGTGGTAGTGGGATCCCCATTACCTGTAAAGCACTTTGAGTGGAGAGTCCAGAAAAGCGCTCTATAAATATACAGAATTATTATTATTATTATTAGGCAGTGGAGGCTATGGGGAGGATGAATCACTCAGGTTATTCTTAGCTTTGTGACTAAGAGGCCTGTTGCAGGGGCTGTGAGTTTGCAGTATTAGCAGTGCAAATTCCAGCACCTTTTGCATGCTGGAGTTCTAAGGGATAACCTCGGCAGGATGGATAAACAGAGAATATCTGTGGGCATAAAGATGTCGGCTCAAGCCCCACTAGAGGAGGGAGCTGCCTCTTCAGCAGAAGCATGGGGCCTTGATCCCATGCCAGTAAAGACATGTAGCCAGTCCTGGAGACACAGGGCACAGACAGGACTATGATGGGACGCCAGGGCCTTAGACGGGAACCGATTATTTCGAATACCAGTCCAACCCAAAGAGCGGAGGTCTCCAGACACCCTGAAGAAACCCATGTGAGCCCAGGGAATGCACGAGGGTCCCACCTTCCTGTCTGCTCGGGCACAGTGGATCCCTCAGTCAGAGTGCTTTTAACAAGGAATGACCCCCAGGAGGAGGTGACCCATGGGAAATGTTGTTTGCTCCAATTGCAGTGCACCAAAACGTGTGGCGTGGGCGTGCGGATGAGGGATGTCAAGTGCTATCAGGGCAGGGACATCGTGCGAGGGTGCGACCCCCTAACCAAACCTGTTGCCAAGCAGACCTGTGCCCTGCAGCCCTGTCCAACAGAGCCACCAGGTACATCTCTATTACTCCGAATTGCCCTAGTGTGCTCTAGGTGTAGATGTGTGAGACATCCAGCTTTAAACCATTGTTAGATGTCACACCAGCATTTAGTCTTCATTATTTTCAGCAAGGAAACACCGAGCCCAATTTCAGGGATATCTTGTAGACGATGCATTCTAATCTAACCTTGTTTGTACAGTGCAAAGTAGCTAAGGTTGGGAGCACCAGCAAACAAGCTGTCCAGATGTTTGCTTTGGTTTTTATTTTTTGCAAAACATGGCATGAAGAAAATTGAAACAGTAACCAAAGGTATCAAAACAGTTCTTCCCCCAGGTTAACAGAAATATGAAAGTAATTATGTAAAATTAAGATTCCAGTAGGTCACAGCAATATTATCAAGCTCATCTGTATATCTTATGTTTTTTTTTGTTTTTCTCGCCAGTTTTGTGTGTGCGATCAATGACATCTAGATATCTATAAGCGTATGTACACAAGAATGTTTTAGACATCTTTGCCGCTTGTGTTTGTTGGTGGGCTTGCGAATGGAAAGAAAAAAAATATATAAAAAGTAAGCTGCCGAACAAAAAAACATGGGAAAAAAAAAACAGAGGTTGCAAAAGTGGTTTTTGATCCTGGCTCAAGCTGTCAGATTTGGGCTTTGGACATGCAACCAGGAAATGAGCTGGAGTTGTGCTCTAATGTAGAAAAACAATGTCCCAGGTTGCAACGGGTCCAGTCGAGTACTGTGCTCCCTTGTTGTTTTCTAGATGAGAACTGCCAGGACCGGCCCTCAACCAACTGCTCGCTGGCTCTTAAGGTCAACCTGTGCAGTCACTGGTACTACAGCAAGGCCTGCTGCCACTCCTGCCGCGCTGGCCACGCCCCCTAACCCCGGCTCCGCCTCGCACCCGCGCCCACCTCGCCGCAGGCAGGACCCCGGAGAACCTGCACGTGCTGTCGCCCCCCCCCCAAAAAAAAAAACTATCAATCAACCAAAACCCTGTGCTTTTCTCGAGCTTTCCGCCCGGACCTCAGAGGCAACTGCTGGCGAGGGCCAACCCGAGTCGGTCGGACCTCATACGGTGGGGGTTGGCCACAGTGCTGGGAGCCCAGGACTCCAGAAGGCCCAGAAACCCCCCCCCTGCCCACTCTGAGGTTCAGTCTGGCGTTCCCAGCAACACTTTCACCCAACCAGCTCAGTATGCCGGCACTGAACTCTGACGCCGCAGGTCCCCCCTCCCCCACCCGGTATAAATCTCATGCCTCTGCCTGGCGGTTTCCCTACAAGCAAAATTCCAGTCCATTCCAGGCCATTGTTCAGGTTCAGAGCCTACGAAGTTGATTCTCAGCCGTTTCCTGCTTCTTTTTCTACAGGCCCCACTCGGCAGTGGTGGCCTAAAAGCAGAAATGCCCTAAAATGAGCGGTAGTATTAATAATTTAAAATAAGCAGGGAAAGGCAAGAAATCAATGAATGCAGGTATTTCTACTGAGTATAGGCCTTTACCACACCATGCAAGGTCTTTTTCTGACGATTTGCCTGCTGGCTCGGCTGGCTCGGTGTAAAAGAATGCCCAATTGGGTCCAAAGAAACATTGACACAGCAAACCTCACCTGCCTCGGGTTCCACACCTTGGTGTTGTACAGCCTTCACAGCATTCCTGAATGCCTTCTCCTTCTCCAATGCCTTCTCCACAGAAGGCATATTCCCGGGCGGAATATTCCAGGGGAAAGTCAGGCTACGGTTAACACTGTCTGAGGCTGGATCCTTAACGGATCTGGGCTGCCTGTGACGTAAGTTGAGAACAACCATTACAAACCAGAAAACAAAAACAGCAGCCTGGTACCTCACAATTAAACAGCAGCAGAAAAAAAAAAACAACAACATTTTTCTCCTGGTCCCCCCCAGACTACAATACGTAGCCCAGAGCTTTCTCGCCATAATGCTGCGCTGGTTTCGAGATCACGTCTAAACACTGTACTCTGACGCCAGGGCATTCTTGTCCATTAAAAGCCCTGTGATAGACTTTCTGGGGGCTGTGTAAGCATTAGCTGAGGAACAAATCAGGGTTTACTGTACATCTGCAATAGGCGCTTGAATTTTGAGGCATTGGTTGAAGATGACGACGTGCTGGGTGCTTTTTAAACTCCCCAGCTTCTCTTACAGCTGTTTGCTAAGTCTTGTTTGTGTAAAAGACAAAAAAAAAAAGTTAGTGACAATAATACACTAAGACAACCTTCCGTTTCTGAGGAGGGACGAGATAAATTATTGTTCTGTGCAGTGTATTGCATGTTTAAAATATTTATTAATATTATTGTATTGTTTGTTTTTTTTTATTATTATTTCAGACCAGAAAGTAGGTTTTACTTCAAATATAAGACCAATCTTGTTGCAATGCAAGTGCAATACAGAACGATACCTCTGTCGATGAAATTGTACTGTATGTTAAAAACACAGGTTCAGTCCGTAAAACCACTTTTGCTCAAGTTATTCTCTATTTAAATGTTTTAATGCTTTGTTTTAAATGCTCCTTTTCCATACACTTATTCCTGTGTTAAAATTACTTGAAAGCATTTGTATTGCTGGAGTTACATTTTTTTTTGCTTATTCTCGTGATAGAGAGATCATTCCAAAGCACCTTTCATATCCAAATCGTAATAAAAAATGAATTTCTCAGCTGTGTTTAAAAGTTAAAAGTATGCTAAAACTAAACCTATGCTATGGTGAGTCTTAATTTTATCCCCCGGAGACTTGATGTAAAATGGAAACAACATAATTGGGAAAAAAAGAGTATTTTAAGAGTAAAAGGCAGCAAAATTAAAAAAATATTTCACTTTGTTCACAAGTAATACCAAGACCTTTTAGATAATTGCATCTGCTAGGGATTACTTACTTGGTACAGCAGTTTTCGTAGGATCTCTGCAGTGTGTGTCTTGAATGAATGATGCTGATAATGTAAAATGACTACATTACAAATGCATGTAAAATGCAATCAGCATATTAGCTTTCAGTTCTTAAACCTCTTAAAACCTCTTTCAGTTTTATAAAACCTTCACGTGCCTCTTCCCAAAAAAGCTGGGCTATCTGCTACAAGAATGTTCTGAATGATTATCCTGTCTATTTCCCAAAGAAAAAAAAATGTACAGTATCCTTTTGTATTTGTTGCTTTTACTGGATAACAACTTAATCTCTTTAAAACCTTGTTTTGAATGAATTTCTTGGATAGTAAGTTGCTTTTGGATTTCAAAATAAATTATGTGCCTTTAGGTGAATAGCTTTGTGTCCCGTCCCAGTGTTTTTTTCTGACTGGGAGGTCGAAACGTTGTTTTTCTCCCACTAGCAAATTCAGCAAAACATACAGTAAATTACTTTAAAAATAGGACATTTTGTATAATAACCAGCATGGGGTTACTCCAGTACTTTGTCTTTTAAAAAGTGCTGTTTATTTAACTTGGCATTATTTAACTCAGTGTTATCACGGTCTTAGACAAATTCCAAATCACATTACTGTACTTTATGCTGACAGTGCACATCAACAACTCAAATAAAAAAAAAAACAGGTAAAGGAAAACTGTTCTTTGTAGTGAAACACTATACTCTGATTAACATAAACATGGCTTTAAACACTTTTTTTGTTCCTTGACATCTTGTGAATAGGAACAAACAATTTCAGTAGGACTCTTTAAAAATGCAGGACTTGATTTAAGTAGCCCTCGATATCTAATGTTTCTATTTTTAATTGTATTTTGTTCTTCACAGCTGAAAAGTTAGTTTTCAAGGACAATATTGCTTTGGATACTCTTGAGAAAGTGGGCAATTCACCTATCGATTTTTTTAATACCAAGTGTTAGCTTTTCTCTGTCCTTTCCAACCAGCAGCAAAAACAGAGATTTCCCTCTCAAAGGAGGCCATTTGAGTAAAATATTCTGGAAATGATTATTTTTTCTATCGTTGCTTGTAAAGCAAGGGGGGAAAAAAAGAGTTCTAAAACTTTCAGCATTGATTTTTACTGTATTTTATTATCAACAACGTGTTCATTGATCTTAAATTTTCCAGTCATTTCTGTAACATTTCGGCATTAATCGAAAGCATGGAATAGGCCAGTATTGAAGAAGGAACAGAATTGCCCTGGAACACAAACACCCACAGAAAGAAACACCCAGCGAAAACAGTAAAGAAAGCCGAACAATGTGATATAACTATGGTTTCCCCTACGATTTTAATTTCTGTATTAGACATCAAAAGGAACCAGCGTCAAAATAGTAGCGTTGTGTGATCTGCTAATGCAAAAACAAAAGAGGGTGCTCAAGAGAAAATATACACCGAACGCCCCCAAGGAAAACGATAAATGATTGAAGTCCGCTTGCTTGGAGTGAAACAGTTGCCGCAGCTGAACAAAACGGTAGAAAAAATTAGAAACGGTGGGGCTGTACAAGGTGAAACCTACGGACCACCAGGAGGCCGAAAAAGTTTTCCTGTGGCTCTCTGGCGACCAAGCGAGAGAGGGTGAGGAAGTCATCCGTCATACAAAACGAAAAACCGCCTCTTCTGTACCGTGCGCAAAACGCTATGACTTTAGTTTGTGGTCAGTTTTTGTTTTTTAAAGTAACATTTCGACCGAGTCTTGAGAAAGGCAAAGGAAAATGACAGGCTTAAAACAAACCCCCCCCTTAAAAATACTGGAGTGCCGTCGTGTCTCTCGGCCTAGTGAACGCATATACTCGCCAGCATCCCCTGATACTGACCAGTGTCCCATCCAAAAGGGAGGAGGCTGTGGAGCGGACTTTATCTAGCCCAGGGCAGAGCTGGGGTGACGGCTCTTGTGAAGCTGGGCAACAGAGGAGAGAAAATAAAAAACCTTGACTCCTCTCCAGAAACACCGCTGTCCTGGCGGTTTCTTAAAAGTGGGCAATTTTTCCCCATTCTTCCAGAGCAGAAAACGTCACCACATGGATGTACTGGGTTCCATTTTTCTTCTTTGGAAGCCGGTTTGACTGACAATTGTCAGAGCTCCGGCATCTGGTTTGGGCTTTAGAACTGCTTTGCTCATTTGGACAAGGGAGAATTTTGTTTTTAACAAAAAAAACTCTTCTTCCCCGTTTCCCTTCACACCCTGTCAGCCCAGCGCACGGAGTCCTGGGAGAGGCGGAGGTGCCCTTCACAGCCAAAGGGCTCGAGGCGTTTCAGCTGGCTGGCCCAGCCCAACGCCATTTTCCAGCCATCAAAGTCCGCAGGGCTCCCAAATTTCCATCCCGCCCCCGATCTTAATGTCTAAACTCATTATTTTGTTTAGAAGGCAGAGCACCCGTCTTTGTAGGTCTTAACCTGCTGCTAATTGAAAAGTTCCCATAAAAACCTCTCTCACGGATGGGCGAGTGCCCATCTCTGTTCTTTTGCACTCCTCGGCCAATCTATCAAACGAGTTATTGTCTCCTTTTTTTTATTCTGAAATCACGTCTAGCCATCTGTATTATGCGTTTGCCAGTGCCCATGGTGCTTTTCTGTTTAAAAGGTTAGACGACTACAGGTCCTACTGTGTAGGACTAGAGGGATCCAAGGTAGATGAGCTGGGTGAATCAGGCCTCAAAGGATCTCCAATTTCTTACAGGCCCATTAGGTAACATCTATGTTTTAGCTAACATCTTCCAATTGCCCCGTCTCTCTCTGTAAGCGAAGCCCTTTCCCCTCCCCTCCTAGATCTGGAGAAGGTTTTCAGTTCTGTCTGGCTAAGCCACATGTTCAACGCCGATTATTGCCAACTCAATGTCTGAACAAAACAACTCAAGTGAGAACCCCACGCCCACAAGCTCGGCGAGGTGTTCCTGCTTCTCCCCTTTCCGATCCTCCATTTGGCAAACGCGTCTGGCTCGGTCCGGAGCCCAGACCTGGGATTGCACATACTTGGTCCTTGGCAGCGATGCTCTGTTGCTGTGCAGAGGGAGAGTGAGCGACACTGATGATCCAACCCCATCCCTACCTTACTGTCCACCTTAAACTGCAGGAAAGCAGGGGAGGGCAAACACAACTGACAAGTCCGCACCAGCAAAAATAACAAAATGGCAAGAACACCTGTGTTCACATTTGATAAGCCCTTAAAGTAATACATTTTTCCCCACATACTGTAGAAATATACACAGACCATGCCTCTGAAAAATCTGGATTAAGTATACAGGTACGTCGGGAAAACAGGAGGAAATCTGCCCCCACCTGTCCTGCTGGACCCAAGTGGTCCAATGTCCTCAGTTCGATTCCCCGAAGTAAGAAGAAGATGGACAGGGAGGTGCTGGGAGGGAGACAGGAGGCGACGCCCAGCGCAGAGGGTTGGAGCAACATCGTAGGGGAGTGTGTGGTTTGGGGAGCAGGGAAGGAGTAGAGGGACGATACATGTTTGAAATGGGTCAGTCTGTGTGTCCATTCATGGCAGTAAGCTCATAATGCCTCTCTTTCCCTTAATCACCTGAGACTCGTGTTTTTGTAGCAGCAAAGAGGACATGCTGGGGGTGGGGTGGGGGAGAGGGAGAGGATCCGCCCACAGGAGTGCACAATTCCCAGAAATCAATGCAGCGGGCCGTTCAGTAAAGGCTTCGCTCGCGCCCGCTCCCCTCGTCTTCCTCCCGTGCCCCGTTCAGGAAGTTGAGGACTCCTGGCTTCTGGATGGAGGAGGAGGAGGAGGAGGAGGAGGACAGGAGCAGGAGGAACCTGGCCCTTACAGGCGTTCAGCTGTCTGGAGTGGCGGCCCGGGAACAGTTGTCGAAAAACTTTCCAGATGGGTGGCTCGTGTGTCTCTCGGGGCGTGTGTGCGTGTGTGTGTGTACGTGTGTTGGGGTGGGGTCAAGTCGCCCTCTAAACCGGAACCCCATCTTCCCCGCAGGGGGTCCTACACATCCGTGCTGATGCTTCGGCTGCGGGTGAAGACCTCCTTCATGGTGACGGAGCGCGCCAGGTTGAGCTTGTGCATGCTGGGCAAGTCCAGGGGCAGGTCCAGGTCCTCCTGCTGGACGGTGCGGTAGCTGACCCGCTCGCCGCCGTTGCGCAGGCCGTCGGGGTGCTGCAGGTAGAAGGGCAGCTCGTAGTGCGTGCAGTTGGGGCAGTAAGTCCGCGAGCGGACGAGCTTCCGCGCGGGGGGCGGGGTGAAGAGGGCGGGGCCGTTGGCGGTGGCGGCGGCCGTCGCCGCCACTACATTTTGGTTGCAGTGCACGGGCGGGAGATGGGAGTGCATGGCGAAGTCCGGCTCCTCCTCATCTTCCTCGGACTCCTCCTTCTTGCAGCAGTAGTACTGGCCGGCCGAGCGAGGCGGGGGAGGGAGGGAGAGAGAGAGAGAGAGGGACACTTTGAGAGAGGGACAGAGCAGGACGTTTCCCCAGAGAGCCCGTCTGGCCGGCGTGGACTCTGCACAGGAGGGGGGGGGGATGAGGACACCAGCTGCAAGCGACGGCGGGTTGCACCTGGATTGATTGGATCATTTCCTTTGGGGCTCGATCAAAAAGGAATGACCCATAAACGACTGAAGTTGTTTGTTCTTTCTTGGATCGTTTAAGCTTAGTGCGCCAAGCCCCGAAAATGAAAACAATTTAGAAGGGGTTCATATCAATTTGATTTTTCCACGATTTGCATTGAAAACGGCAGAGGTTGAGTAAAACAGATCTTTAATAATAATAATAATTGCTTACACTTATATAGCGCTTTTCTGGAGACTCCCCTCAAAGCGCTTTACAGGTAATGGGGATCCCCTCCACCACCACCAGTGTGCGGCCCCACCTGGATGATGCGCCAGTACACTCCCCACACACCAGCTCCCAGTGGGGAGGAGAGCAGAGTGATGGAGCCAGTTCAGAGATGGGGGATTATTAGGAGGCCATGATTGATAAGGGCCAGGGGGAAATTTGGCCAGGATGCCGGGGTTACACCCCTACTCTTTTTCGAGAAACGCCCTGGGATTTTTAATGACCATCTAAGTTTTCGGGAACAGGACCTGTTCATGCCTGTGAATAAAGGGCAGGAGTTTAGCTTCAGTTTTATAAGGACACCTTTGGACATTTCAGAACACTGCCCCCTCGGAAACCCATTTCGAGGTATCCTTGGTTGGCAAAGGTGCCAGTATTTTGGCCTGTGGTGTATCTGAGCTTCTCTGCCAGCCTGCCCAAGTCATTCAGATTCGTTTTCACTTCGGTTATGAATTTTCCATTTGCCAGATCTTGGCAGCCTGACAGAAACTAAGCTGCCAACCCAATTGTCTCTGCTTTCCCCAGAGCAGCTGGGGGGGGGGAGGGGGGGTAATTAAAGACCATGCAGTAATTTAGCTAGGAACCAAATTAAATTAGAGAAAATGTGCACGGTATCGAAGAACATTGTGTCCTTAAAAAAGCTTTTGGCCACTCGGCTTCCAGCTAGCACTGGCCTCATGATAAAACAGTGCATGCATGCAGTACGCATTGCACTAAAACAGTGTGGTGATCGCTTTATATGAACTTCTTTGGAAACAAAGGTAACATCTCTAGGCTAACAATCAGAACAATCCAGACAAACATGCTAGTAGTATACAGCTGCCTAAATATACAGGGTTCTTACAAATTTAATGGGACTACATCAACAGACAACTATACTGTGCAAACTGTGTGACTTTGAGCAATGAAGTTTGAGTTGCATTCTGGGGAACTTATTTTGCAGACTTACCCCGTGTCTGCAAGGGGGCATACAGTGCCTTCTTGACCTGCCAGTATATCATTGTCCCATTTCTAGGAGAATTTTAAATTGTTCCCTTTAAGAATCTTAGCAAACTGAGGGATAGGTGTACATGTATATCATCCATAAGCTGCAGGACTGAAATGCTAGTTATCTAGGCTCTGGTCTGATCAGTTATTTTGTTTGAGGAAATTACAAGACTAATGGAACACCTGTGATTACAAGTCAGAAGCAGCACATCTTCCTTATTAGAGTGGCTTTTAGGGTTTTTAACTGTGAAATAGAACTGGCAGAGGGCAGGGTTAAAGCACCAAAAACTGTCAGCATTATTTTTTAGATCTTGATGAAATGAAAACGGCAAATTTCTACAACTACTGCTCTTGGGCAAAATCTATCAGTACACATCAAATCAGCTTTCGATTTTCTTTTAAGAAGACACAGAAATGACGTCTCCATTATTTTTATACAACATTAATTTCATATACTTTGGTAACACAATACCAAATTTAGTTTTGCGTTATCTTTTGAGATAATGAAATAAATCACATGGTGCCATTTTAGTGAACCCAATGCAGGTCCGCTTGCTGATGGAGAATGTGTGTGAACAGGTCATGATAGAGGCAGAGGACCAAAGGAAAGGCTGTGTTTGTAAGACTGATACATCAAAGACCCCTGCTCCACATTTAGGCTACTCAGACTTAAAAGATACACAAATTCAATCCTAGCTAATACCTCTGATTGCAACTGTCAAGTGGGCTGGACTAATGGTTTTTGTGGGGCCAACTTGACCCACTGACCAAATGTTTGACAACTCGAGTTTAATCCATTAGTCACAACTCAATCTTAGTTTCAGTTCTTCACTCTATGAAGCAGCTCTATATAAGGTTGTGCACAATTCTGGGACACCACTTTTCCAGCTACTTAGGCTATCCTGAGAATGTTGACAAGAATATCACTAATTTATTTATGCTCTCAGCTGGATGACACAAGCAGACCTGGCTACCCAGAAGACTGATCGTGTTCCCACTGCCTGCAGTGAGATGCAGAGCTGCACTTTTTTTGCTACTGCAAGAAAGACTCAGGGATTAGATATTCTTCTCTCAAATAACAAATCAGTTCTCAGAATTCACACACCTGCCAGATACAGAAGAGGTATCAAGCCTCATGGGAGAGGAATCAGAATAGAGGATGCTAGTACTGTGACATGATATGAGCTCTCATCGCAGTCTGAGGAATGGAAAGTTTAGAGTCTCAAATAAATATAGTGTCACTGTCCTGAACGTCTGTTATGGCTTTGTCCATCGTTTTGGGTTTTTTTTCTTTGTTTCGCCATGTTTCTTTGGTTTGCAAATGGGTTTTTTGGTGTGAATTCGGTTTTTTGGTTTGAATGTGTCTTTTGACTCTCTGTTGTTTTTTGGATTGTATTTTTGGATTTTTGTGTGGTGGTTTTTTGTTTTTGTTTGTGCTTTTTGTTGTGGCTGTTTGTGTTGATCTTGTATGTAGTGTTTGTCTTTCCTGAGCAAGAAATGACCTATAACCAAAGTCCAAGGAAGCTACAACAAAGATGATGTCTCTGCGAAGTGTGTAACACTTACCTGCAACCTGCAATAGCACAGCACTGCTATGATGCACAGTAAGATAACTGTTGCTAAAATTCCGCCTGTGATGACCACTGTCCCGGCTGTCATTCGATCTCTTCTCCATTAACAGCCTGCAGGCACAACCACACAGAGAAAGCAGGCCGTCAGGCTCTGTGGACACCTCATACAATATATTTCACTTCGGAAAATGGTTATGCAGCGAGATAGCCCTTCCAAGACAAACCGGTCTCGCCCAGTAGGTGTCCTGTGGGCAAAGACTGGTGTGTAGGCTCGGGATACAATTTTGAAACAATACCCTATTTACTGCAACAGCATTTAACAAACGAACACATCAGTCATGAAGGGAGAGGTCTTTTCATGAAAAATATTTATTAGCGGCGAGTTACAGTTATATTATTTCTGCTTAATTAAAAGGTAGAGCAAGTGACAAAATAAGTTATTTAATGAATCATCTGTACAAATGTTTATGTTAACAGGTGTAATTACACATTTGTAGTGTTTACATTCAATACAACACATCAGTTTGGATCCAACTTCAGAAACCACTTGTGCTTCAAGGGGCTATCCTTCGTAACACCGGGTTATATCTAACCATCACATTCGGGAAAGGCCTGCAAAACATAAATATCCAATTTGCGTCCCCGAACACGGACGCATTATGGTCCCTGTTGAGATAAAACAGCCATTACAGCTCGCCACCTGGGAGTCAGCTAAGAGGGGCTCAGAACAGACTGATGAGGCGAGATGCTGAAGACCCACATACAAGGCCTGCACTTTTTTTAACCTGGGACTGAATTCACCCTGAGGTGTACGGTATCCGACGTTACGTCTGGTAAAACGTCTAGGAGATCTTCAACCACCCATTTCTTCCCCATCAACAACGAGTGAGCAAATAATACTGTTAAATAAAGAGAAGCCAGCATATGATTGTATTTTTATATGGTCAATGTATAGTATTTATTTTTATAGGAGCCCAGATATAAATAAAGTTCCAGTGGGCAGCTGCGTCAGCATGTGAAGGCTGAAAAGGAGCAAGTAAAGGTTTATTCCCTGCTGAAAAGAGAAGAAATGAAACAACGTTTCGGCTGTGGAGCCTTCTTCGGGTGTCTCGCACCTGAAGGCGGCCCCACAGCTGAAACATTTCTTTTCTTCTCCCCTCCCCCCCAACGTGGAATAAACCTTTACTTGTTCTTTTGCAGCCCACGCATGCGGACGCAGCTACCCGCCTGAACGACCGTTTGTCCGCATGTGTGCAGAATTCTAACACGACACCTTTTACAATACCGGTTCTAAATATCTCCAGCTTTGAGATCAGCGTGCTCCAACATGCCGTTCCCCTTTCAAAAAAAAAAACCAACAACCATGCCGGTATTCCAGAGTCACGCAGGAAGCTTGCACGTCAATTTGATATTCCTGCAACAGCTGGACCTCAAGAGGAGCAGGCAAACGGGTATGCTTGAGGCCCCCCGAACAAAAGTCTGAAGAAACACAGACTTTGTAACACGTGAACTGAACCTTAAAACCCGGAATTTCCCCCAAACACCAACTCACGAACACAGTAAGGCACTGGCCACCTTGTACCACAAGAGGGCGCAATGCAAAAGCACTGAACATGTAGACAATGCTGGTGCACAAAACACACCTCAAACTGCAGAATCTGCACTTTTCAAAATTCAGAATTAAAAAAAATGCATAACCTAAACATTTTAAGGACGAACTGTAGCTTATTATAATCAAAATGATACTAAAAAACATTTTCCGCAACATGCACTTCCGCTCACAAAAACCCAAGCTGTAGGACAGCACAAAGTCTCTTAAACTATTATGTGCGCCAGTCTGCCCAACTGCGTTGTCTTTCCACACAAGGAAACTGTTTTTCCTTTTACTTAAAAAAACAGAACATTAGGAAAAATGCACCGCCTTTTCTGCGGAGCCTGAGCTTCACACTGGGAGAGTCGCCACTTTTCCAGTCCAAAACTGGAATTTCAATGCAACTCCAGGCTCGGCATCCTGCTTCCCTCGTACAGCTGGGACAGAAGAGGGGGAAAACTGCTGAGCAAGGAAACGGATGATCGAAAAAGTAAAGCCTATGTCAGGAAAAACAAAAACCTTGATCGGATCAGCATAGTGGAGAGGCAGCCTGTCAGTTGCACTGTGAGTGGAGGTCACAGGTTTGTTTGCCTGACTCTGGAACTCATCAGTCAGATGAAATTACAGCTGGCAGACATGTTACACCTCAGTTCTGCCCCCCCCCCCCCAATGAAAGCCTTAATTAGATCATTCTCATAAAAATTTGTTGCCACGACGAGCCTACATTAATTATTTACCAAGGTACAGCAACAGGACTGCTGCATTCAAGCCATGAAGAAAATCCAGAGTTTACAGATGACAGCCTCCGAGAACACCAGTCTTATTCGGCCATGCACGATGAACACGGAATTACTGCCCTGGTGTCCCTGCAAATGTAACAGTATTTTACACTACACTCAACTGAACTTTCTGGCTTAATTAAGTTTAACCTGAGTGCAGATTTGTTTTCATTTAAATCAGAGACTGAAGAAAGCAAGCCGCTAGCTGGGTCATGACTAAGAATACAGAGCCAGAATCTTTATTCATTATTCATTTAAAAAAAATGATATCCTTACAGTGCCTTTAGTGGGTAGGTACCTCACTACATTGTTTTAGCCTCTAAAAGCCAATCTACTGTATTAAGAAGGTACATTAATTTGTAAAGTACATAAATGATGAGTTTTTAGCTTCAAAAGGGGAGGGATGGCAAAAAAATGAAAGCAATGTACTATTTCTATTTAAAGAAATGCTTATGCCCTTCCTACAAACACCCTTCTTAAAAAAAAAAAAACCTAGGCTGTGCTGAATAAGCATTCAGACCAATCGGATACAGCTGTATCTTTTAGTAGATGCAGAGATGGCTCACACAGCAGGGAAATATATTTGTATTGTTACTTGGTGTTCATTTTCAGTAGATGTTTTGGCAGAACGCACAGCTCCTTGGAACTTCCCTGAACGATTCCAGGCTTCTTTTTCGTTTCTCTATAGGCCTGCAGACCTTTCAACGCGAAATAACTGAGGTGTGTCAAGTAAAACAATGCCAAGGACAAACACTGTAAGCCCGGTTTCCCATGACAGCTTTATAAAGAAGACAAACCCCGGTATTAGCTCAAGACCTTCAAGTGTCATTAGGCAGAATGGGTTAAAGTTAAGGCCTGGTTGTGGTGATCTTAGGTTTGACCTGAGCCAGTGAATCAGTCAGTGCCCTGCAAAACGGTTCTGCACCAATGGGAGCTGATAGATCCTAGCTGTATCATTGCCTCAGTATCTCAGGCTATTTAATACCTTAGCATAGTGGAGAAAACTAAGGTTGCTGCTGGAAGAGGTGTTTGTGGGGCCAGCAGAGGGCCCTCACCCTGGAGTCCATGTGGGTAATAATGCCCCAGTATAGTGACGGGGACACTATACTGTAAATGGGCACTGTCCTTTGGATGAGACGCAAAACCGAGGTCCTGACTCTCTGTGGTCATTAAAAATCTCACGGCGTATCTCAAAAACAGTAGGGGTATAACCCAGGCATCCTGACCAAATTTCCCCCTGGTCTTTACCAGTCATGGCCTCCTAATAATCCCCGTCTCTGAACTGGCTCCATCACTCTGCTCTCCTCCCCACTGAGAGCTGGTGTGTGGGGAGCGGACTGGCGCATCATCCAGGTGGGGCTGCATACTGGTGGTGGCAGTGGGATTCCCCATTACCTGTAAAGCGCTTTGAGTGGAGTGTCCAGAAAAGCGTTATAGAAGTGTAAATTATTATTATTGTGGCCTGTATTTCTCTGGGCTCCGGTTTAAGGCACTGAAAGGATGGCAGACCTATTTTCTCTGTGTGGTACCTTTACCAAGCTGCTGCATAGGTTCTTGTGTTGCAGTGTAAGACCTCAGTTAAATAAACTGGGAAAACCTGAATTAGCTGGAGAGCCAGGGGGATTTAAATCAGCATCAGAATCGGCTCCAGCAAGCATGCTGTGTCAGCGAGCCCAGTACAGCTACACAGCCACTGACCTATCCAATCTGCCATTCTATCAAATGAGCAGAAATCTCGTTCGTGGGGCAGAGGAAAATCGCAGGAGGCTGGACAACGAAAAAGAAGAGAAGAGTTCGCCAACTTCTTGGCTCCTCGCTGTAGTCAGACTCAAAAACAAATATTTCAAATTGGTCCTTGTTAAGCACTCTAAACTGGGTTCTGAGCCAAGGAGCTTCTGTGCTGCAGTGCTGCTTTTTTTCCAGAATGGGGAAAAATAAAATGCACTCATTTTGCAAAATGGTACTATCCCATTTTCCTGTGACTGGCTTTTCTACTGCAGGAACCAGACACGGCCACCACCAGCAGTCCACTGACAAAGGTTTTTCAATATTTGTGTCAGCCTGATTTTACAATGTGGTCAGTTTTAAACTTCAACTCCTGGACCGGAGAATGTGAGGCCTGTAGACGTACTCCTCTGACACCCACCCACCTGCAGAGCTATTTGCCATTTGACACACTGCTAGAGCCCATAGAAGAGTCTCTGTTCGCCAGAGGCTGGGAGTCTCCCAAACCAAGTGATCCCTGCTCTACCCCAGCTTGGGAAGATCTGGCTACACAAGGCTTGAACCCTTGATGTGTGAGTAAAACTCCCAACTGATTACCTTGTATAGCGTGCCTAAGGGTTGCAACCACAAGATGTGTCATTTTTGCGGTGCAGAGTACAACATTTTTAGTATTAAAAGTGGTATTAGTGGCACAGAATCTTTGGTATGAAGTTTGTCACTTGACCGTGCTGTGCGGGTCAGACATAATGGATATCGTAGTTCCCATCAGGGGGAAAGACTGTTCATGCTCCACAGCACCTCAGAATAATTCCTTGATGCCAGCATGACCATTATAGGGTGCCAAATAGGACCAGCCAAATTGAAGGACACAGCTCCTCTCTGAAAGAAAACATCGAGAAACGTTTGCAAAAAGAAGCCAGTTGAAATGATTTTCCCAGCCTGATGAAATTCCCCGAGTCCTCATGCATCACATGTGCGCAGACCCACTTGCACTGACAGATCAACTTAGCTGGCAG